ATACCAGGCAGCGTTTCGTGGCCCATGGTGATCTCCACCGAGGTCCTGGTGGGCACAGCCTGCAATGCGGTTCCCCCGCCCAGGCAGCGTTTCGGTGAGCACCATAAGGAGCTCCCACACCGAAAGGTCCCAGTGCACAGCCCGCATGCGGTTCCCCCACCCAGGGCAGCGTTTCGTGGCCCCATTGGGAGCTCCACCGAAGGTCCCAGTGGCACAGCCCGCATGCGGTTCCGCTGCCCAGGGCAGAGCTTCTTGGCCTCATAGGGAGCTCCACCGAAGGTCCCAGTGGCACAGCCCGCATGCGGTTCCCCCACCCAGGGCAGCGTTTCGTAGCCTCTCCCCATAGGGAGCTCCACCGAAGGTCCCAGTGGCACAGCCCGCATGCTGTTCCCCTACCCAGGGCAGGGTTGCGTGGCCCCATGGGGAGCTCCACCGAAGGTCCCAGTGGCACAGCCCGCATGCGGTTCCCCCGCCCAGGGCAGCGTTTCGTACCCCCATCGGGAGCTCCACCGAAGGTCCTGGTGGCACAGCCCGCATGCGGTTCCCCCACCCAGGGCAGCGTTTCGTGGCCCCATAGGGTGCTCCACCGAAGGTCCCAGTGGCACAGCCCGCATGCGGTTCCCCTGCCCAGGGCAGCGTTTCTTGGCCTCATAGGGAGCTCCACCGAAGGTCCCAGTGGCACAGCCCGCATGCGGTTCCCTCACCCAGGGCTGCGTTTCGTGGCCCCGTAGGGAGCTCCACCGAAGGCCCCAGTGGCGCAGTTCGCATGCGTCCCCCCCCACCCAGGGCAGCTTCGTGGCCCCATAGGTAGCTCCCCCGAAGGTCCCAGTGGCGCAGCCCGCATGCTGTTCCCCCGAAGGTCCCACTGGCCGGAGGCCATTCCAATATAGTGCACATCAGAACTTTCGCGCTAGACGCGAAAACATTCCCCAGAAAGGAGAAAGAGTATAAATAATGCCTAACAGTCTCGCCCCTCAAACTTCCCCCGTATCTCCTCCCCTCCACCTCCTCCGAGGAGGACAACGACGACCAAAGCAAACCCAAGATGCATGAATTTCCTTTTCACCACAAGGAACGCCCCACTTGAAAGACCAATGCAATTGGGCTTGGCATTTTGGCGAGGGCCCCGCTTTGAACAGAAGCTGCATGACATCGACCTGGCGCGTATCCTGGACTTCGAGGAGGTATCAAACGATATCGACATTTGAAGAACAACCCACCTGGATCCGTGCGTGTTGAAGTTTCGGGTCTTTTGCATTGGAGACGTCTCGAGCGACAATCCCCTTTTGAAAAGTCTAGTCCCCCATCTGGCTAAACGTTGCAAGACAACGAATGCGAGCAGCGCTTGGACGCGACCCGTATTTTGAAAACGACCTGTGCTGAACGACTACATCCGTTGCAAACTTTAGTTATGAATGCGCGCGACGCTCAGGCGAGAGTCCCACTCTGAAAAGGAGCCGCCCTCTTTCCTGGAAGCTGCTGCAAACTTCAAAAACAAAAAAAAACAACAAAAACGAATGTGCGCGGCGCCGTGGCGAAAACGCCGTTCTGAAAACGGCCCCCTCCTTCAGTCCTTGAGCTGCTGCAGGCTGCGAAGACGAATGTGCGCGACGCTCCGGTGAGAGCCACTCTTAGAGCAGATGGCCCGTGCTCCATCCTTGGAACGGCTGCGAACTTTTAGGACGGATACGGGCTCGCCATCGCTCGGACGTCCATTCCCCGTGTTTTTGTTCGGCTTCGTGCGTGGCTTTTTCGCCGAATGATCAAGGATGCTCCTCGATGGTCCTCGCCGAGGGAAAAATGCACACGTTCGAGCGATGCCAAGAGAAGTGGGAGGCGCCGCGGCGAGAACCACAGCGTGAAGGATGCCCCCCCTGCATCTTTGAAGCCGTTGCAAATGTTAAGTCGGGCATGTCCCTCTACGGGAGGAATACTCAAACATAGTATCAAGTCACTCCCGGCGCACTCGTGAAACCGATTGCGCAGGAAACACAACGACAACATGAAGCGAATCTTTTCAAAGGTGACCGCCCCGTGAAAATAACAACGACATCTCGATTAAACTGGTAAGCCCTCGCCAACGAAATTTTGACAACGGTCGAAACCCGATAGACTGACCGCGCGGTCTATGTCGACAAAACTCACAACAAAGAACAAACCGAAAAATGAACAATACGTAAACGAAGAAACGGATTTATTCTGAACTCATGAATATACCTTTGCGATGCAGGGGCAGTTTATTCAAAAGCAGTAACAACTGTGGTCTGGAAACTAAACTTTCGCGTGCAGATCCACTCTGCTTTAAATCAAACGCGCGCGAATATGAATGGTTTCAAAGACGCTCCTTTCGCGCAACCGCCGTCGTCGTGCAACCGCCGCGCAAAATTTGACAGCGCTGGGCTGCCCTGAAGGGTTGAACGGTGCCCGCCAACAAAAATCAACAACGAAATCTTGGATCCGACGGTCAACCCAGTCCAGCAGCGACTGCCAGGACTACAAAAAATAGGGGGACGATTTTCCGAATAGGTGTTTGACCATGTTCGACTAAGTTTGCACTACTTAGAAGAAGAGTAAAAACACATGAACATAAACTTGTGGCGCTCCACGCGGATTTCTTGCATTCGCGCTGGACCCCTTCCCTCTCGCGCGGAGAGCGCCAGGGGCGGCGCCGGAGGCGCCGCCGGGGAGCCCAGGCGCGGATCTAAGAAATCCGCGCGGAGCGCCACAAGTTCACGCATAAATGTTTTTTGTTTTTTTCGGCTATCTTTTTTCGGCTATCTCTACGTTTCCATCCACAATCCGCCTGTAGGGGGGCACGCCCGGCCTGCCCCACGAGCACGCCTGTCCAGGGTTTGCGACGGGGTCGAGATTTAGTCGTGGGGAAGAGGGAGGAGGAGCAGGAGGAGGAGGAGGAGGAGGAGGAGGAAGGAGGAGGAGGAAGACAAGGAGGAGGAGGAGGAGGAAAGAGGAGGAGGGGGGCGTGCGGGGACTGGGCATAAGTTGCACTGGGCTCGGGCTGTGGAGGCAGATGATCCGACCATTTTTTGTGCGCTTTGTGGAGGGCTTGCTTCGGTTAAATCCGCTAAGCTGTCCAAACCATGTTTGAATCCGACGCGTTCGTCAGAGCTGTCGAGGCTCCTGCGAGGGCTTTTGCCTGGCTCTAGCTACACCCTGGGGCAAGTCTTTCCCCTCGCTTCCCTGGCCTTCCTTTTCCTCCTCCTCCTCCTCCTCCTCCTCCTCCTCCTCCCCCTCCTCATCCTCCTCCTCCTCCTCCTCCTCCTCCTCCTCCTTGCACCAGGGGAGTAGCTCTGAATTGGGGCGCCCGCGGGCGGCTGGGAGACAACGGGCAATCGGTCCAGTGCTGGGGTTGCCCCAAGAATGGTCCTGTCCCAACATCCTTCGCTGTTGGAGCAGATTTGGAGGATGTCTCGAGCGAGGCGCTCATTTTCACCCCCCAGGTGGGCCAGATTTTGAGGATGTCTCGATCGGTGGCCAGACTCGTGGGCACAGATTCTCCTCAGGATGCCACAGGAGGCTCCAGGAGGCTCCAGGAGGCGCCAGATCTGTCCCTGAGGGGAGAGGATCTCCCAGCGCGAATGGTTTGGTTTCGCGTCTGCATTTGTTCGCCAACGCGGCGTTTGTTTGCATTTGTGTGCGTGCAGTGCGGTGCCGACTGCTCTTGGAGTGACATGGCACCCCCTTGGTCTGCGAGGTCTGCGAGGAGGAGGATGAGGAGGAAGAGGAGGATTCGCTGAGCTGAGCTGAGCCCCCTGGAGTCCATGTCTGGGCTGGCGAGCTGACTACCAGAACAAATTCTGTGCCCAGGGCGTGCGAACATTGAGCAGAGACCAACCGTCACGGCATTCCTAAAGGCCCACCACGACATGTTTTTAGAACCCCCAGATGTTCTAAGAAGAAAGCCCATGTTCTTAGAACATAAACCAGATGTGTTAAAACAAGACAGCTTCAACCGTACATGTTCTCAGAACATTGCGTGGATACCACAAACGGTTCTTAGAACATTCTTTGGTGGGCATGTGGGTAAGCCAGGATGTTTCGCCTCTGCTTGAGAACATGCACTGCCCGAGATGCTCGTTGAAACCATTCAAATTCAGGATTCCAGGCAAAACGAAGTCGGCTGGCCATGCGCAGAGGAGGCAGTTGCGGGGGAGGAGCACTGAGCGAAAGGAGGGAAGCGGGGCAGGGTCGCCCGCCGCCGGCACAAGACGGTTCGACGGCTGGCAGCGCGGGAAGACTGTGCGTCCCTGTGCCCCAGCTGTCCTCATACTTCCCCACCAGATGCGGCAAGTTCGTGCCGTCTCGACGCGGCAGCGGCAGGCCTTCTCGAAGCGAATGGAAAGCCTCGGGCTTTCTGAGGAGCTCTGAAAAGCCGAATCTATTCCGTCAAGTTTAAAATGCTCCATTACGCTTGTCGCTACTTGGCCACCGTCTGTCGAAAGGAGGAGGACGAGGAGGAGGAGGAGGAGGAGAAGGAGGGGGAGGAGGAGGACGAGGAGGAAGAGGAGGAGGAGGAGGAGGAGGAGGAGAGGAGGAGAGATGATGGAGGAGAGATAAGGATCATCGCGGTGGGGAGTGGATGATTGAAGTAAGTGATTAGTAAGTTATAGTAGGACCGGAGAGGAGTATGAGGATGAGGAGTAGGATTAGGGGATGAGAGGATTATTAGGGTGATGGGGTGGAGATGAGACGATGGATAAGGGGAGTGATGAGGAGGAGGAGTATGATGATGAGGAAGTGAGAGAGGTGGTAGGCGGAGAGGAGGAGGAGGAGGAGGAGGAGGAGGAGGAGGAGGGGGAGTGGAGCGCGCTTCTGCGCGCCAAGGCGGTGCCCTGGCGCGCACCGGTGCCCACGAATGGCTTTCGAACTTACGCAGCGGCGTGACCTACACACACAGCGGCACTTATTCTTTTGCACAGCTGTGTTCTAGAGCTCGGACCTCTTGATTTTCGTTCGTCGTCGTCGTTCTTTCGTTCGTCCTCCCACGCCTGGCCACATAAGGAAACTCCTGGAGGAAGGATGCGAAAGCCCCCTGTCCCTCGCAGCTCGTTGGTGCAAGAGCCAGGGCACGCGTGCCACTTGTTTTTGGCTCACGGGCCTGCGAAAGCTGCGACAAGGCTGCGCGCAACTGCACTGGGTCTTCATTTGACGGGCGAGTGCAGATTTAAACTGAGCTCGGAGCTCTCAAGACTAATGCTACGCATGGTCTTTTTATTATACAACAACGGAACATCAGTGAAACAGCCGAACGACACATAATGGAAATAACGCGTTTTAAAACAGAACGCCGTGCCCTGGAATGTCATAAAGCAACGAAGATCTATACATACAACTCCAGAGAAAACGACGACCACAGCATTCAATGGTCCAGACAACATAACACTATCAAGCTTGAATTCGCGATGAAGCACGCCAATATACCCCTGGCTCGATACAACACAAGACCTGCTGCGAGCCACGCCCGCAACCCGTCAGAGACCGCGTCGCCGCGCAAGCGACGCGCAACGCTTAAGTTGTCCAATCCGCACGCGGCCGCCCACCCTTTCTCACGCACCTTCGTGGCACTAGCCGCAGAGAGATCCAGGGCGGAGCGTGGACTCCCATATGAATGGTTCTCCAGTGACCTGGCAGCTCTTCCCGAAGCTGTTGTCGGGATGCTGTGGCTGACGGCGGAATGGCACAACTGCTGTGGCTCCTATCTGGCGAAGGCACGGTCAGAAAGAGGCACTACCACATGCAACCAGGAGCGAAACCGAAGAGGTCGCTCGCGTGGCCACGAGCACAACCACCCGCTGGGCCCCTCCGCTGCCCAGGGATTGGCCTCGAGGCGATCCCTCGCTAGATGCTTAGCAGATGACGAGGCTGAGGCGGCAGATGCCGATCCCTCCTGCTGAGAAGGCTGCCCAGCTCGCCCCCGCAGATCGAGCAGGCAGCGCCGACGACGTCGTCGTCGCCCCCGCCGCTCTCGCTCGAAGACGCGCCGCGGGCGATGCAGCCGCAGTGCTTGCACTGGTGGCGGACGCCGGACTGGCCAAGAAAATCGCGGCACCCCATTCGCCCGATCTGCCGCACACTCGAGGCATAGCGCTGAACGGTCCCATGGAAGGTGCAGCAGGATTCTGCAGGCATCACAAAGTTGAACCGCAGCATGGTTTCCAAGATCAGGTTGTGGATGGTGGCGCTGTTGGTGGCGGCGCAAGATGGGACCGCCAGCCTCTGCGCTTGCTTGCCAGAGCCAGCATCCGCGGCATGATGCTGCTTGGTGGGAGCACGGCGCACATCCGTCGAGGCCCGGCCTTTCTCGGGAACAGCCTCCGCCTGATCGCGCGAGCTCGACCCCTGTGGCGGGCCATGAGAGGCACCCAATGTTCTCCACAGCTCTGCGAAGACGGTTAGGCGCTGGTAGACATCAGGCATGGTTGGGCGCGACTCGAATATCATCTGACAGCACTCCTCTGACAAGGCGCGGCAGGAACTCTCAAAGGAGCCACTCGCCGCGCTCGGCCACTGCAAGACAGGCGACGAGGCCAAGAAGCTACGCAGCTCCTTACGATGCACATCCTGGAATGGTAATCTCCCGGTGGCCACGAAGAAGATCACGCGCCCGAAGGAAAACACGTCCACCGCCTCGTTCGGGAAGCGGGCGCCCAAGATAATCTCCGGCGCCATCCACCGCAGGGTGCCGCCCATGTGCCGGCTGCTCGGCGAGACGTGGCGTGCGAGGCCGAAATCCAGCAGCTTGGCGCGCCACCCAGAAACGGAGTCGACCTGCTGGACGAAGATGTTGGAGTCCTTCAGGTCTCCGTGCACCACGGGCGGCTTCTGCTCGTGCAGGTATCGCAGGGCCCTGGCCACGTCCGACAGCAGCGATGCGCGGACCAGGCTGTCGCCAAGCACCGTCGGCTTGCGCATGAACTTGCCCAGCACGCATCCAGAGACGAGCTCCATTACCAACCACATCCTGGCGCGGCCCTCCGCGATGTCCAATACGGCACCATACAGGAAGACGATGTTCGGATGCCGCACGTGCCTGAGGATTCGCAGTTCGTTGCACAGCGCCCAGACCCTGTCGCCGTCCACGCCATCCTCGATGTCCTGCTTGGGCGCCTTGACCGCGACCTCGATGCCTTGGTAGAGCCCGCGGGCCACCACGCCGAAGCCGCCCTCCCCCAAGACCTCTGACGTGATGGCCACCTCTGAAGGGGCCCTGGGACACACAAATAAATACACGCAAATAAAATGATTCCCCATTTTTGGATTTTTCGTCTTCCCCCCCACTTCCCATATTTTCCCATATTTTCTGGGGGATCGACGATTAATTGTGTCTGTGTTTTTTTTCCCTCCTGAACCTCGCCCGACTCGATGAGCCACCTCTCCCTCTGGCCGAGGCTCCTGAGCTTCCGCGCGTCGACGACGTGGCCCGCCCCGCCGAACAGCCTCGACGAGTGGACCGAGGGCCTGCCGGAGTCCTCGTCCTTGCGGGGCCACGAACGGGGGGATCTGGCAGGGGGGGGGGTGCACCGACCTGGAAGCGGCGATGCATCGCTGGGCCTCCGAGAGCGAGCCCGCACCTTCCTGGGCAGGCTGGGGCTAGCTATCGGGCCCCCTATCGGCGATCAATGGGCGATGGGGGGTCGATGCATCCCCCCCTGTGCCTGTCCCCCCCCCCCAATCGTTGCCTTTTGGTCTCCGGGCCAAAACTCAGCTCTCCGGCGGCCGTTTGGAACGATTCTGGCACCCCTGGAACGCCCTCGACGAGGCGCAGCTGCTGGAGAGCATCCCGAGGCTGGAAAGCCGCCAGGGACCGAGGAAAAGTCCAGAAAACGTTGGAAAATCCCCCCACTTACTCCTATCCCCCTCCTGTCCCTATCCCCCCCCTATTCCCCCCCCCCCCCCCCCCTCCATGCCTATTCCCCCCTCCCCCATCGTTGCCCCCGAGTCCTGCCCGCGAAGGGGGCCGTGCGCCTGCAAAGCGCCCGGCCCTGGGCGCGCCGCGCCTGGGTCTGCCGAGGCGGGCAACGCCGGGGCGGCGGGCTCCCTGTGCGGCCTCCGCCGCCGCGAGCGCGGCCCTCTGGTTGCGGGCCCAAAGAGTATACAAATCATCACCGCGTTCGATTCCTCCTCCTCCTCCCTCCTCCTCCCCCCTTCCTCCTCCTCCTGCATCCTCCTCCTCCTCCTCCTCCTCTCCTGCTTCCTCTCCTCCTCTCCTCCTTCCTCCTCCCCTCCTCCTCCTCCTCCTCCTCCTCCTCCTCCTCTCTCCTCCTCTCCTCCTCCCTCCTCCCTCCTCCCTCTCCCTCCTCCCTCCTTCCCTCCTCCCGTCCTTCCCTCCCTCCCTCCCTCCCTCCTCCTCCTCCGCCCTCCTCCTCCTCCTCCTCACCTCCTCCTCCTTACATCCTCCTCCTCCACCCTCCTCCTCCTCCCTCCTCCTCCTCTCCCTCCTCCCTCCTCCCTCCTCCCTCCTCCCTCCTCCCTCCTTTTCCCTCCCTCCTCCACTCCGCCTCCTCCTCCTCCTCCTCCTGTCCTCCTCCTCCTCCTCCTCCTCCTCCTCCTCCTCCTCCTACTCCTCCTCCTCCTCCTCCTCCTCCTCCTCCCCCCTCCTCCTCCTCCTCCTCCACCTCCTCCTCCTCCTCCTCGCCTCCGCCTCCTCCCCTCCTCCCTCCTCCCTCCTCCCTTCTCCCTCCTCCCTCCTCCCTCCTCCCCTCCTCCCCCTCCTCCCTCCTCCTCCTCCTCCTCCTCCTCCTCCTCCTCCTCTCCTCCTCCTCCTCCTTCCTCCTCCGACCCTCCATCCTCCTTCCCCGCCTCCCTCCTCCTTCCTCCCTCCTCCCTCCTCCCTCCTCCCTCCTCCCCTCCTCCCTCCTCCGTTCCCTCCTCCTCCTCTCTCTCCCCTCCTCCTCCTCCTCCTCATCCTCTCCTCCTCCTCCTCCTCCTCCTCCTCCCATCCTCCTCCTCTCCTCTCCTCTCCTCCTCCTCCCTCCTCCCTCCTCCTCCCTCCTCCCTCCTCCCTCCTCCCTCCTCCCATTGATGCGTCTGATGACTGCCAGCATCGAGAACTCTTTTGATCGAGACCGACAGATCGTCAGTACAACTCCCATGTTGTCGCAAAGATGCACGTGCCCGGTGTCGTGGCCCCACCGCGACTGGGCGAGGCGGCGCGCCGAGGCAAGGACTGCACGGGCTTCCAAAATGGCGATGCCCTCAGCCCTATCCCAGGTCCCGCTGCGGCAGACGGCCCAGCGCCCCTGGTCGAGCCACCCGGCCGGCACCTCCTCGAAGCTCTCGTCGATGGCCCAGGCGCCGTCCGATGCCTCCTCGGGCGCCGAAGGGCGCCATGGCCCGGAGCCGCTGTCGTCGACGAAGCCCGCGTGCCGCATAGCACGCTGACGCGGCGCCAGCTCCAGGTCGAGGCGGAAGCGGCTCCGCTCGGCCACGCGCCCGACCCGAGCGACCTCCCTGACGTCCACCATGGTGGAGGCGACGCCGAAGCCGCTCTCGGACGCATCCGACGCCGTGACACAACGGTTCCGGGGCAAAGCCCAGTCGCTGCTGAGGAAGACGAGGAGGCCCTGGAAGCAGCTGAGCTCCTCGCGGACGGACGCCCACATCTCTTGCCGCTCCCAGTAGTTGGCCTGCACAAAGGCGTAGCAGGCGGAGAAGACGCAGAGCACCTCTCGCCTCACCAGCCCAGCATACGTGCAGTGGCCCAGGAGGCACTCCAAATCCTGGCCCGAGAGTCTGCCTCGTTGCAGCGCGTAGGCCAGGGCCCTCTCCAAGCGGCAGCGCCGCTTGCTGGTGATGGAGGTGCAGAGGCGCTCGCAGTCCACGACGACGCCGAGCGCCGACCCCCTCCTTTCGAAGAACTCCACCTCGTGGATGTCGAGCTTCATCTTGTTGAAGGCCGCCACCTTCTCGTCCAGCGCCCTCTTGACTAAGTTCGCGTCCTGCCCCAGCGCGCCCAGGTTGTCCACGTGCGCGTAGTGCCAGAGGTCCTGCTCCCGAGCCCCGCCCACTCTGAACACCATAGGCTCGCCGCGGTCGGTCGCAAGCCGCGCCTCCCGCAGCAGGTCGCACTGCCTCGCCAGGTTTGTGTTGGCGTTCTGGCAGAAGTACAACGACCACGAGCATCCCATAGGCAGGGCTCGGCAGCAGGGGCACACCACATCATCGCCGCTTGCCACGCGGCCCTCCACAGTCTCCACTGAGTCTAGGCGGAGCTCGCTAACGGGGAAGGCGAAGAGGGGGCTCATCCAGGGCGGCATCACCATCCTGTGGAAGCAATTCTCCACGTCGCCGACGCCGAGGCACAGGCGGAGCGCCCGCAAAATACCCCAGCTCGAGTCCTCCAGCAGGCACGGGTCGCCGTCCACGGCGACCTCGAGGCGCGAGAGGCCCTCCGCCGTCAGCAGGTCTACCCGAGGTGGAGGTAGTAGCCGCTGGTTGGTAGGGCGCGCATCTGTGATCATCCGCATCTTCTGTCTACCCTTCTTCCAGACGAAAAAGGCTCCGACAAATTCAACAGGCTCCGACGTATATCGTAGCATGCCACTGGAATGCA